TAACACAGTTTAACCGACATCCAAAGCAAAGCCTCACATGAGCAGCATCATGTTGTTTTCACTGAACAGATATCTGGCTCTAAAAATCCTGACTCGTCAAAATGTCAGTATCTGCAATTTGAATTCTGCAAAGTCAAACTATTAAACGTTAAAGCTGCTCGTCTCTGCGCCTCCAGTCGTAAGTCATATCTTCACAGCTTTTATTTTATAGCCCCAAATTTATAAAAACATACGACGCCCAATAAAAACGGATTTGCACCATATGGGACCTTTAAGGAACGGAGACACTAAACACCTTTTACCACACGCCGAATGCATGAACGCTAACTTGCAATCTCATCAATTAAGCCGCTTCCGTTATGCAACCCGGTCATGGATTATTCATCCCAGTCGTCAACATGCGGTAAACAAACATCACGCCAGCGCAGGAGGCCTCGCGCCCTATCTGCTGACGAGCTCTTCCACAAAATGTGATATGCAAAACTCCGGCGTTAGCAGGAAAACGGGGCTAATCGGCTCCACGCTGGGAAACAGCTTGTTCCTCCTGTTTCAACCCACTTCCAGCGTCTCTAATTGGCTGGAGTCGACTGAGCAAACGAACCCGCCGCGTGTTCACAGGCCGCCGTACGGGCAGAGGCTGTGGTCGCATACAGCCGTGACAGAGGATGACAGCTCAGGAAAAAAAAAGAAAAGAAACAACCCTCTGAACGGTCCTGTTGAATTATTGAAGGAGCTCTGAGAAAGCACCTGACGCTGCACTGATGTATGTTGATGACATGGAGGAAGTGGAGGTGAGTGGGGATTGGTCAGAGCGTGCGGTCGGTGGGAAGCGAAATCTGCTCGAGTCATCATCTCGTCTCGTGACTTGCATCCTTGTCATGCAAACAAACCAAGTCTCACATTTTAGCAAATTAATGCAAGTTTCACAAGTTGTGTCTTAAACTTTTAGCTCAAAATACTACGAAGATGATTCAACGGCCGTTTTAAATGGCTTGTTATGCTCTATAGACCAATGAGCTGCTGCTGGCCACGCCCCCTTCAGGAAGAAAACTCTCTCTGCATCTGAGAGCAAAACTGTTGACTGCATGGACATTAGCAATTTCTATCACTTCTTTCTCTCTGATCAATAAGTTTGTCGTTTTTAACTCATGCTAGACGACATTACGGTCACAAATTGAGTATTTTAGGTTGCGGGTTAACGTGTTGCTGTGACAGGCTGCGTTTCAGTCACCAGCAACAGACAAACATGTAAATAATGTAAAAATGCAGTTTACGAGAAGCTAACAGACGTAAACATCGGCTAAGTTTAGGTTGAGCTGAAGCACAACAGGCTTCAGTAAACCCACTCAGTCCTTGAATACTGGTTTAAATAAAAGTTTCCACCGTCTCTGAGCGTCCCTCAGTGTTTCCATAGAGCTCTCACCTGTGGGCAGACCCTCAAAGCTAATGCTAACATTAGCCAATTAGCCGCACAACACGCAAACTGAAGATTTAGCTGTTGTTGTAGTGACATTGACATGAAAAATAAAAGTAATCCGCTGGGTGTTCAGCGCTTTAGATGCTGGCAGTGCATGAAGACTCTCATGTTCACTCTTGCAGCAGAACATTTGGTGGGTTTTGATCGTGGTTCAGACATTTTAAAGTTAGCAGAAGCAGCTGGTGACAGTAAATAAACCTGACGGACTGCTCATTTTGACTGGATCACCTGGAAGCAGCGAGGGGGCGGAGCTATACAGAGTTTAAGCTGGACGACTATTGGTTAGTCGTGTGTCGGGTAGCACTTGGGTCAAACTCCTTGGAAAAACCACAAAACAAGATTAAGACGGATTTTCACCACATGGGACCTTTAAAGACTTAATTTTTCGGTAAACGAAGCTCAACGTGGGGTGAAAACTCTCTTTTCTCCTTCAGCTTCACCGCCAAACATCCGCGGACGCCTGCACACGGCAGGGTTTAAATAAACAGGACGACCTCATGACATTCGGCCCAGCATCACGCAGCAAGAGAGGCTATTAAAAAACTGCATTTACTGCCTTCATCATCCCAGAAGTAAGTAGTTTTTAATTAGCCGCTGACCTTGTTGGCTTTGTTACAAATCAATAACATCTGACATTTAGAGTCCTAATTAAGATCGCTGTTAGGTTAACACTCGGCGATTAAGCCGTCTTTGCTTTCAGCGGAAAAAAATAAATAAAAAATCCATCCGGGATAACTCGCTAGGTTTAGAAAAGGAGACGTGTGGAGGCGTTTGGATTGTTGTCGCTGTTAAACCTGCTAACAGCAAGTTAACTCGATGCAAGTTGTCTTAAGAGGTGCGTATACAACTCAGGTTTATTGTTTTGATCAGCTGCAAGTGGCGGAACTCCTTATAAGGCAACACGAGTCTCGTCTCGAGGCGAGTCAAGTTCAAGTCCAGCTTAAAGTCAGCTGAGTTAAGCTCCAGTCAAGTTTCAAGTAAACTGAAAAAAGTTGTGACGCAATTAAAGTTTGCGCAGGTTAAGTCTGAATTCTCAACTCAACGGAGACAAGTCAGAGTCCGGCCTCGAGTCAACCAACACAAAGTCAGAGTCAAACCTCAACTAAACCCGAGACAAAGTCAGACTCATGTCTTAAGACAACTGAGACAAGTCAGAGTCCAGCCTCGAGTCAACCAACACAAAGTCAGAGTCAAACCTCAACTAAACCCGAGACTAATAGTTTGTGTTGCGTCGTCACTCCTCATGAGTTCCAACACGTCAAAACCCAACAACGAATGACTTGACATGTTAAATGAGAAACCAAGACTTGTGGTGGGAAAAGCTCGAGTCAAGTCCTCATTTTCATCCATGAAGCCTCCAGTGTTACAGCTCTAAAAACACCGCCGAAGAATTGTACCGAATCGAGTCTCACTGCGTCTTCCTTCCTGAGATTCCGTCATTAGATCGTCTTGTTCCCTCGTGTCGGCCATCAGGGAGCTCATCTTTATAAACGCTGCAGAAACCAGAACCACCAAACTGAATAAAACCTGCCGTCGCATTGACTTGTAAATCACGTCCTGTTGTGTTTCTTCAGGGTCGCCGCTCGTCTGAAGGCAACCGAGGGGACGATTGGTGTTGGTGGTAGGAAGCAGCAGAGATTCGGCCTCGGGGTGGGACGGCTGCCGGACCACGCCGGTTATTACCGCTCCTTAACTTACAGCAGCAGCCTCTTCGCCTCGGCTCGGCTCTGCCAAGCCTCGGGGAGTCATTGGCCCTTAATTGCATTTGCACAGAAGTAATGGGCTTTCGGAGGCAGCGAGCGCCGGTGGGAGGGAGGGCAGAGCCGGATCTTTTTCACCGAGTAACCATGTGGTGGAGGCGAACTGACATACGGGGATACGGAGACAAAAAGTCAATCATGACACCCCCATTACATTACGCTCCAGGAAACGAGATGATGCACGTCTTCAGGATGACTTAACGAGGAAGACGGAGGTTCAGATCTCAGATTCAGCTCAAAGAGTAAAACTGACCTCCTGCTTACACATTTCAGCACAAAGGAGGGAACTAATAAAGATCAGTGTTCATGAACCAGCCTCTGTCCTCTGGATTGAGCTCAAAACTACACTTTTGGTACTTTGTGAATGTGATACAGAAAAATGACAGATTTACTGAGTTTAGTTCAATTACAGATAATAACTAGAAAAGCCGCAGAAAAGGTTTAAATGTTCACTGTAATAATAATAATACTCTAATAATAACTGTAAATATAATGTGTTCTCAGTTTCTACAGTATTTTAATCAGCAACAGATATGATTACTTTACAGATATTTGGCGTCATTTAAAGACAAACTACGTATATTCAAAACCCAAAAACTGTAAATATTCTTTTAACTGTAATTTTTTAAAACAGTTTTTTTCCTGTTTAGTTCAATTACACATAACAACAACAACAACAACAATAACAACAATAATAATAACAGTGAACCTACTTTGTACGCGATGCTGTTGAGGACCTTCATGGCCAAGTCGGACACTTCAGGAAACGGATCTGCGGCCAGGTGCAGCAGAACTCTCCAGATCTGAGTGTAAACGCTGTTGAAGGAAACACCTGGAGGAGAAAAACGAAGGAGGAACAATTCAGTTTCCACTCTCGTCCTCTTGTGTTGCTTCTTCCTTATTTCATCCACATGTTTGTATTCAGATCTTCCCGTAAACTCGACCTCGTCTTCCCATCTTTCCAGAAGCGTCGGCGCTAAATTCTGCACATTTATTCCTTTTTATTTAAACTGTATTTTTAAACAATTACCTTCTAATTTCTCAGGTGCAATATTTTAAATTCACGCGTGATGTTTCAGTATCCTGCAACATTCTGCAAAACTTCATTTACACTAATTTTTCAGGTGCGATACTGAATTATTATGTCTAATATTACCGGGATATAACTGCCAGCATCACTTCCTGTTTCTATTCAAGCCTTGTTGTGTTTTAGGTATCGTACTCATATCTGACTGCTTTTCTACTTTTAGTCTGCATTTCTTACATTTGCAGTTTTGTTTTATTCTGAGCAACATCTGGCACTAAAATGACGCCGATCATCCTGTTGTGTGTTTAGGTCTTATTGGCATCGATGAGGATTAAAACCACACGGACATCGAGCGTAACATAAACACTAGCGTGAGCATTTTCAGGGTGCAAAAAGGACTCAAGAATCCTGTAACGACTCCGTTTCTGACTCAGATTTTGTTTGATTCTAAATGAGAGTTCATTTTCGTGGAGATTCTCCGTCTGCTGCTGTGGGTTTCTGGTGAGCAGCAGCTGTTTGGTCCATCAGACGACCGACTGACTGAAGTCTGAGCCCAGTTATTACCGAGACTCTCCAGAGAGCGCCGGAGGGGATCCACAGATCCAACAGACGCCTGATTCCATGAAGATGGAGGCGACAGCAGGAAGCACTGTGACACAAGAAGGTGTTTATGTACACCTTAAAATAAAAAAAAAACCTATTAAATATGGGGACAGGACACCAAATAAAATAAACTTTAACAGACGTGGACTATTATATAAAAAAAAAAGTAAAAAAGAAAAAAGAAAAAGGTGGAAATATCAGCAAATATCTGTAAAATGACACTTTTAGTTAATTTAAACGCGTTAAATGGTGCAAATTTATCGTCACAAAGGGTAAAACATTAAACTGCTTCTAAAAAAATCAGATTTTCGATGATAACGTCAGTGATTTTTGCTAGAATTAAAGATATATATTATGTGATTTTACTGGATATTATCTGGAATTTAACAAAATCTGTAAAGTCACGGGTTCAAAGATTAGCTAAGATTTTTCTTTTTCTTTTAAGTAATGACAAATATCTGTAGAATAACACATGTTTTGCTGATTTAAATACAGCAAAAACACAGTAGAAGAACTAACAAGATGCACAGATACTTCATTCGTTCGTTTGGGGGAAATTTATTAGAAAATGTGAACAGTTTTTTGTTTGTTTTTTATGTTAGCGTGTAAATAAATATATATTTTATGTGAATTTAGTGGATATTATCTGCAATTTAGCAAAAACTGAGAAAACAGGTGTATAGGTTTATATAAATAAACAGGTGAGGATGTTTTTTCTATTAAGTAACGACAGAAATAAGAACATTTTGCTGATTTAAATGCAGTAAAAATACTTTAATATTATGATCAAATGAAAAAAAACCCAGACTGTTGAAGTGGACAGTATTTTTAGTTTGTTTCAGGGTCAACATTTGAATGAGTGTTTTCTGTTTTCTGCAGGTCAGACGGTGAACAGAGGAAAGAAAAAGAGAAGCCTTTGTTTTCTGAGATGGTTAAAACAAATCAAACAGGAGCTGGTGAAGGAGTTCAGAGGAATCCTGATGACAAAGACGACGGCTGCAGCCTGAGGAGGACGAGGTTAGCGAGGGTTAGCCACCGCGCTAGCCGCTGTAGTAAACAGCCGGCTGACGGATGTGAGAAACGGTTCATGTCTTCTTGCAGCGCACAAATTAAAACTCATCCAACATCCGTCAGCGGCAGCAGCACCGTGTCCTGACTCGACACTCGATCCCAGACTAGTGAGAAGGGAAATGGATGTACAGTAGTAAAGATGTTAACCGCCGGCTAAATGAAGCGCTGCATCACTTTTTTTTTTTTTTTTTTACGGCCTTCCCAAATTCTGGCAGACGACATAAAACACCTTTAACGCTGCAGAGCTGGGTTCTTTTTTCTTGAGCTTTAAATGCTTGAAACATAAAAAATGCATCAGAACGTTTTGAAAGCAGATTTTAAAGGAGACGTGAGCAGTGGAAGCAGCACCAAATCACACCCGACCAGGATTTAAAGCCTCAATGTGACAAAACACAGACGTCAGCGCAGGAACAGGAAACGTCTGCTGCAGTCACCTCAGGTGGCCCCGCCGCTTCAGGCAAACATCTCTGCAAGGCTTTCAATAACTGGCATGAAACTTTGTGCAGACGTTTGTGGTTCGTCATCTTGTTTGCCAGGTGCTCGGATTTACAACCTGCCTGCCAAGCACCCAACGGAGCGAGCAGCTTGTGGCGGGTAGTACCTTATTGTCCGAGGGCTGCCCGCATTGAGGTGGGCGGTGACTACCCAATGGCATTAAAGAACTCCTCCCGCCATCAAGAGCAACCCCTAGCGCCCCCCACAACAGAGACTACCCAATGGCATTAAAGAACTCCTCCCGCCATCAAGAGCAACCCCTAGCGTCCCCGCTCTCCTTGCAGCTGATGGCGTCCAGGGGAAATGCAAAGCAAGTACACCTGGCATCAGGGTGAGGTTGGAACAACAATGGACCGTCTGATGGACTCCAGCTCCTGATTTATCCTCAGGGTTTTGTCCTGAAGTTTCTCCCACGGTTTGGTAGAGTTGCGAGGCAGCGGCGGTTGATTTTGGACTTTTCTCTCCTACAGGAGTCGTCGAGCCTCATCTGCCCGGAGCTGTCTGGTTTAAAGGTGCCAGAATTGGATGGCCCATCCTGGACAGGGTTTTGCCACAAGGTGGACTGCCAACCAAGGCTATTGAGCTCCACCTACCCATTGGTGGTCCACAGAGGATGAATCCTACCGACTCTGGTGGCTCCAGCTTTTCCTCTTTGGTTTGGACACTTTGAAATATTGTTTGAAAAATTGCCAAAATTTAACATTTATCGTATCTAGAAAATGAAAAAGATAAAAAATGGTTTGATTTTCTACTTTCCAAACTTTCTTGAACAACTCATCTGTGATATTTGCTTCTGCTGGGAAAAATCCACCAAATCAAAGCTTAAAATTGTGAAAATTCCTTAAAAATCACTTTAAAACAAAAAATGTGCCACTCCTCAACACGTGACTCAGCTGGAACCAACAGCACAAACATCTGGAGAGTTTTGGACTGAACTAGGTTGAACTGCAGGCAGTGCTTCCGCAGAACAGATAAACATGCTAAAATTTTGTAAAATATCTATATTACATAGACCCACCCATTTTTAAAAAATAAAATATCGGTAACACCTATGAGAACTTGGATAAGCTTTTGACGTGTTGATTGTAGTTTTTAGACAGTTTAGTAAAACAAATAATCAAGAAAATTCAACTTTTTTGGGTCTTTTTTCGGATTTATGAGATTATAGCTGAGTCATGCTGCACAGAAGACATTTCTCTCCTTCTAGTCCTGGTTGTTCTGTTTCTATTAAGGAGCAGGACTTTATATCAGAATGAAAAATGAGCCACAGTGAGTGAAAACGTCTCCCAGGAGCTGCTTGTTCATGCTTTCAAAAAACACTGGCTGCAGTTCAGCCGAAAACAATTTTAGCCACGTGACTGTTGGTCACAACTGAGTCATCGATGGTTCTTTGGTTGCAGCAAGCAGCTCAGAATTTTTTGATTTTTACAGAATGTGGTTAAAGCAGATGCCTTATTTTTGGTGAATTTGTAAATGAGCCTAATAAGCATAATAAGTTTCCAGACAGACGAGTACTTCAGGGACCATTTGAAAGCTGAAAGTCTGTTTTCACAGTTTCTGACTCTGGTGCAAATCTGGTAACGTTTCAAAGACAGCGTGCCGTTCAAAGCTGCCGGTGTTTTTGAGTTAAACAAAAGGTAAAATCAATCAGAAACAAACTCTGACCTCGCCGTTGGTTTTCTGACTTTCTCTCTGTGCTGCACCACGACCTCACAGAGACGTTAGCGTGGCCTTTACACCGCGGCAGCCTCGCAGCAAATGATAGTAGTAGTGAGTCGATAAATCGCTGCTCTGCCCTCCCACATGGTCGGCAGCGCTGCTGCTCTCCTGCAGGCCAGAGTCCAGCAGCTCCAGCATTTATGGTTTCAATTTGCTCCGACACACCAGCCCTCTCTACGTCTCTTTGTTTGTCTGCAGATGTGATGAAGCTGCTGCGCGCCACAAAAAAACCAAAAGACAGAAACGAGTTAATGCATTTTTTTTGTGTTTTCCAGGCGAGATGAAAAACAAAAGCCCACGGGTCTCATGAAAGCCACTTCAGAGCGAACGAATAAGAAGCAAAACAAATAAGTCAGAATGACAAGTGGAGCCTCGGATGAGTTAGATAACTGAATCTAAGCGACAAAAGGAAAAACGTAAAAGCCGACGGAAAATCAGACCCGCCGCTAATCTGCTCTGGCCGTTTGTCGACGCCCCCCAGCAGCCTCCGTTCGTACGGGCGCTCGGCTTAGCGGGCCGACGGCCAGCATGTCGCTTAGCGTGTCGCTTAGCGTGTTTACGACCTCACGCCGGCATTAGAGGCCCACGAGCAGCTTAACGAGGTTTAACGTCAGACGGCAGATTTGTCGGACAGAAAAGGGGCAGCGAGACTTTCCAAACTTTGTTTTTTTGAAAAACAAAAATCCCACAAGAGCAGCTGAACGACGGCTCGGTTCGATTAGCTCCAGATTAACCGATAAATCCCCGACTAGACGACGAGCCTGATGTGTTTTCTGATGTGAGCGAGACAGAAACATGTAAATCAAACACAAAGTGTGAAGATGATGCAGCGAACTTCAACTGGGTGTCGACTCAGACAGCAGGATGAATCACTTCAACCCGTCTTTTATTTGCTCCTTTTACATTTTTACTCACTGCGGCTCATTTTTCACTGCAACATAAAGTCCTGCAGCTCTCAGAACAACCACGACTAGAAGGAGAGAGACCTCAGAGATGTGTTTAGTGCAGAATGACGCAGATATAAAGCTTTAAATGGTAGAAAGAGAAAAACGTTTTTTTTTTTCTTCTGGTTATTTGTAGTATATTACAATAATTGAAAAAGAAAACCCCAAATCAACAAGTGCAACTATTTTCCAAGTGTCCACAGGCTGTTACCAACACTGGTGACTCTACATATTATAGATATTTCTCATTTGTTTCCGTACTTGCTGTAGTTCAACCGAAAACAACCGAATTTTTGCTGCGTGACCGTTAGCTACCGTCCAGTCAGTCACAGCTTTTCTGTTGCTGCAAGGACACCAGAATTTTTCTTATTTGACAGAATCTACTCAGAGCAAACAGTTTATTTTTCTGGTTTGGTAAATGGGGTAAGTTTGGCGATTTATTTGTTCTTTTAAAGACGACGTGCTTTTCAAACTTCGCGGCAGGTTTCGGGGTTTAAGAAGGTTCGTAGTTGAGAGCAGAGAAGCCAAACATGTTGTGTTATAAAACAAGGGGGGAAAAATTAAAGAAAGTGGAACTTATAAATTACATTTTTAATTATTTTCCAAACCTGCCTCCTCGCTGCTCTGTGTAAACTCAAAAAGTCCCTGAATTTTTGCCATGTGACCGCTGGTCCCAGCTGAGTCACTGACGGCTTCACGGTTGCAGCAACGTCTGCAGAATTTTTTGGTTTTTGCAGAATCTGATCAGAGTAGACGGTTAATTTTTGCTGATTTTTTAAAGATGAGACACGTAGAGTAAAGTGGCTTTGATGCAATATTCTGATTTAAAGCTTAAATGACCAAAGAGGACGAAGCAGCTGGAGGTTACAGGTTGTTCTTAAGATGAAATTTGCTGATTTTGTAAAGACAACACGCCTTTTTAATGGCATTAATGAGAAAAACACCAGGTTGAAATTAATCGTATTTAAGAGTTGGAATCAAGAACAAATAAATCGAACCGTTTTCTCAAAAAGAAGCTGATCCACGTTGCACAGATTTAAGGACAAAACAACTAATAAAATAAAAAACCTGAACCGACTTTAAAGCCACTGTTGTTTAGAGCTCCATTTATTTTTCCATTTCATTTTACTTGGGATGTGACGGAGTGGCTGGGAATTAAAACTTAAAATTTAACAACAAAAGGAAGACGTAAAGCAAACGAGCAGCAGCTGTGGGATCATGTTCATAGATTTCCTGCCGATCGGAGAAGCACTTTAAATCCTGCGTGCACGTCTGCAGACGTACGCTCGTTCTATTCTGAGATCTTTTCTTTCTGTTCCCGCTCTCGTCTGAAGGGTTTCATTCAGTCTAGTGGCGGCCGGAGCCTCTCTCCTCCTCTGGTGCCGTCACAGTCGCTGTTTTCAGTAAATTTCATTCCATGTTTTTCTGCGGTGAAGCCTCCTGGAAGCCTGCCGTCATCGTCCAAACCAAATATCATCAAGAAATGAGGAATAAGAGAACCAAAAAAACCCAAATCTTGCTGCTGTGGTTTGACTTACTGCTGCATTCAGACACTGGGACTAAAATCACTAAAATTCTACCATTAATGAGACCCTGAAACTGTAAAAACTAAAAAAATCCAACAGTTTCAAGTTTTCCGTTGGTCCTTAAACTACCCACCTGTGACGCGCTGCTCTATCGGGAAAATTCACCAAACCTGAGCTTAACATCGCGATATCTAAACAAAATCTGTTTATTCCTTGTTTTGTTTTAAAATTCACCAAAAATGAACGGTTTGCTGGAACCACATTCTGACAAAAACCAAGAATTCTGCACAACTTGGTGAAACCGTGAAGCCATCAGCGACTCGGCTGCGACCAACAATCACACAACAAAAATTCTTTAAATTTTCATCATTTTCCACCCAATGAACATGTTCAATAAATCTCTAGCGAGTTGGAAGTTGAGCCACTTTCAGACGTTTTGAAGTACACGTCCTGGAGTCTCCACGTGTTCAGGAGATGTTCAGGAGCTTCTGGTGAACGGAGAGAACGCAGCAAATCCTGGAAATCAAGACTCAAGTTTTTGCTGAAGACCTCCCAAATTCAGGATTTGTTCAAAAATTTCAAAACAATGGGAAAAATATATCATTAATCAATCATTTATTGTGAGAATAACATCTGAGTGACGTCACTGATGCTTAGAAAGCTTCCATATGTCAGTAGAAATGGGAGTTATGGCCAATCAGAGTGGACACAGGTAACAGCCAGATCTTGAATCATGGGCAGGCTGATGGACTTTAGGACGGTAAGAGATGGAAGCATCATCTACTGGTGTCCTTCCATGATGTCGTTAAAAAAAACAACTTTCATTTTCATGACTTCCTGCTCCTGATCAGCTCCAGACGCCAACCTTCACCACCACTTCCCATTTAACAAGAACAGTCAGGAGCAGAATGATTCCAACATGAAGACAACATGGAGGGATGTTGAAACTTGGAAGACAAACGTCTGAACATCTCGTGAACACGTGGAGACTCCAGAACGTATACTTCAAGAGATGTGGACGTCTGAAAGTGGCATCTGGCTCAACTTAAAAGAGATTTGTATTGGGTAACAGGTAATGAAAATGTCGGAATTTCAGTTAAAAAATGGGCAGATGTCAGTGTTGGATGTCGAACATCATTCCTAGAGAGTTTCAAGAGATTCTGAGTGGACATGGAATGACACCTTGTGATCCCCCAGGAGCAGCTGGAAAGTGTTGCTGGAGGTAAAAACATCTGGAATGACCTACTGCCTCCACAAGTTGACTCCGAACACCTCGTTAGAAACCTTTCCTATTTATAATGAAGGCTTTGACTCACTGAGGTAATCCTGGACTTGACCAATCACCTCTGGAGTCACTGCTTGACTCAAACTCAACGTGAAATTAATTGTCTCTTAATGAATGTATCACAGGTGGAGCTCCAGTGCTGCTGGCTGGTTGTTACCTATGAGGGAGTTGAGGGACGAGTACGAGGAAACCCGTCGCATCTTGTCGATGGTCTCGAAGGACAGGATGTACTCGTCGTTGTCGGGGCTCCCCAAGGTGCTGCTGGCGCTGCTGCTGGTGCTCAAGTTGCCCGGAGAGAAGGCCGCCGGTCCACCTGGATGAAGGAACGCAAGAAATCACGTTACGGATGAAATAAATAAAGCAGCTGTAAATGTGCAGCTGCAGACAGAACATAAAGGTTTATTATCATCGCTGTTATCGGACAAAGACGAACAGAGCGAGCAGCCGGCGGCGAACCTGCTCGTAACTTCATCTCAGCTGTCGGGTCCAGTCGCCGCCCGCCGTTCGTCTCCCTATCAGCACACATTACTCTGACTCATTCAGACCCGAACGCCGTGCATCCTCCGAACGAGGCCGGAGCGCGGAGATGGTGATTGGTGGAGGATGGAAACGCGCTGTGCTCCGAGCTCATCGATGATAAACACCCGCGGCGTATCGAGAACGAGCGCCGGGAATGTGAATTAGAAGCGGTGTCAGCGGGAGGTTAGGAGCTCCAGCGAGTGCCGGTGATTTAGCTCCACTCGGGGCTGTGTGCATCAGTCAGCGTGGCAGCCCAGGCTCGAGCTGTCGGCATCGGCGAGCGGCGGCACAAACAGCAGCTCGACGGGTCGTGAGCTTGAAAAGCCGCGACTCCGGCTTAAACTATCACACGAATATCTCACCGAGCATTACGATTACCTAAACACTTCTGCTGCCACAGACTGACACTCGAGGAGGTTTTCTGAAGTAAAAAACATATTTCTTGCAGCTACTCTTGTGTTTGTGAAGCAGAAACAAGCCTTTAGCATCTACCTGAACTCATTTCTGCTGCACACTTGCCTGAGCTCCAGACACTAGAGGCGTCTACAGGTGCACGTGAGGCGTTCAGTGAACACTGGGAAACCGTAGCGTCCACCTAGAGTCTGCACGTGTGGCGTTTAGGGAAAAACTGCAGCTTTAGGTAACAAGTACAACAAATAAATAAAACGATAATCAAATTTAGCACCACTAACAATATGATTAAAGGCGCGCTAAATGTGTTGAGATTAACAGCAGACATAAAAACTGACAAAAAACGGAAACACACCCAAAGGCATCGTGCAAAATCTCAGTTGCACCTAAATGGAACAGTTTGGTAGACCACTGCGATGACGGTATAAAGCTGGAAATCCTGTTATTGTCAGAAAGATTTCTGCATCAGTTTTCTGTCGTTTATGTGTCCAAAATCAACAGGAGGGATTTTACTGAGTCAAAGTGAAAATGCGTATTTTTGCAGAGGATTCAAAGTAAAAAATGAAACCAAAGGGAGCTTCGGTTCATTTCAAAATACGGGACCATCCCAAACAGGAGGGCGACATGGATTTCCTGCCGTACCTTCTTCGTTGAGGTTGAGGTTCTGCAGGCTTTTGTTCAGGTTCCTTGCGGTCGTAGCGGCTCGGATGTTGGTGTAGGAGTTGACGGATCGGAGCCGAGGGATGGCCGGGCTGTCCCTCACCGGAGTCAAGTTACCGGGTTCTGGATGGATCAGAGGAGGACAATTAAGAACTTCAAAAATCTGTTCTAGTCAGATTAGATCCAGAGGTACTGACCTTCACTTCATCTCCAAACTTTGAAACATAAGTTTATTTGCATTTCATTGTGAAAAAAAACTGTAAAACTATCTGGTAATTGAGCCACTTTGGAACAATAAAGCCATATGCAGACGACACTCTCTTGTTCATCTGTAACACAACATCTTAAATTCCTCTTATTTTGGAACGATAAGCCCACATTAATGCAACACATTAATGAATCCTTTACGCTTAAAGCCTCGACGCAGTCTAGATTTCGTGATCCACGTTGTCCAACACATACCTGCAGTGTTGGCCGGCGACGGCACCGAGTAGTTCTTCTCCTCTTCTATGAACTGGAGGGCGACTGTGCAGAAGTTGCTCTCGTACTGAACCACCAGGTGACTCAGAGCCACCACGAGCTCCTGACAAACGATGTGAAGCACAATTAGAATTTGTTTTTGTTTTTGCTCCTGTCACATTTGTACTTGTTGATCAACCTGCTGAATGTTCTTCACATGAACAATAAAATCAATTTACAAAAGATGAAAAAAAAGGCTGCAGCTGCAAAGACAAAGCAGCTTTTTTTTTTTTTAACCTTCACTGAAAGTCAGGTTTGTCACTGTAACTTCAATTTAAAATATATATATATATGTGTGTAAAGTCCAGCATGTATATGGAAATCTTTTGTGCATTATGACACAATTAAAATGCCAATTTAATGAACGAATGAATAAGGCAAAAAAAGTTGCAGACTTTTTAAAAAAAATTAAAAATTACTAACACTGAATAAATAAATAAATGAAAAATGTTACCAACACTGCAAAAGAATAAAAATTAAAATAAAAAAATAAAAATAAAAGATGTTACCAACACTGGGGGGAAAAATAATTACAAATAAATAAATTAATAAATAAATAAATAAATAAAATAGTTAAAAAAATTTTTTTTTTTACCAACCCTGCAAAAAATAAAATAAAATAAAAAATGGTGGCAAATTTTTGGAAACTGAGGCTAAAGTTTGAGCACTGAGATGGATTTTAGATCCAAACATGACCATCATGTGAAGCTTAAGCTGAAGTTAAACTCGACATCATCTGACACATAACGAGCTCATGAACCCGTATTAATCTAATGTTGTGTGTGGTGTGCTGCGGCCACCTTTCGGACCACCGGGCTGCCGTCGTTGATGAGCTGAGCCAGCATCATGGCCACGTTGTGATCGATGGTGGTCGAGTGGTCCGTCCTCTCCGCCGAGTTCCCCACGAACGTCCCCAGAGCGAAGACGGCGGCGCACCGCACCTGCAGACGCACAGAAAAGACGCTTTACAACGTTTCTGATCGACGAACAACACAGCGGGCCTGAAACCAGAACATGTGACGCTGGGCTGTCCTGTGATGGAGGTTTTAGAGGTAATTATGGTTCCTGCTTTAAACGCACAGATTAGCAGAGCTGCTTCTCCTCGCTTCATCACACGCTTAATTAAAAGACACGTTCACCATCGTGGGAACGCTTTCTAAACACACCAACACGAGGATTTAACCGTCTGTTCGTCTGCCGGCGTCTTGGATGCAGCTTCAGTGGAGTTAAAGCAGACAGATGTCACTTTGATTCGGTTCTGCTGCTCCGGTTTAAACGCTTTCACCGCCAACGTGTCGCAATTTACTTCCTAAAAGCCCGGGAAGCGACGGATGTTCATGAAAGCTGTCAGCAAATCCAAACAAGAGAGTCGACGCTCTGGAAGACGTCCGACTCAGAACACCTGCACCGTCTGACGGAGTCCAACAGAACAGAACGGGCCTCCGGTTCCTCCTGGTTCTACCATCAGCACCGAGACGGGTCGACTCAAACCTGGAAGAGTTTTTAGCCTTTTTTAATATCTGAGAATCTAAACAACAGCCAAAATTACATCATTTATACTAAAAACTGTGTCTTTCATGGTCTGTAACTGGTTCAGACTTGAGCTGAAACGTGATTCTTTCACAGGACTCTGGATTTATTTACATGTTCAACCTAAAACTTGATTGACTTGATGAGGCGGTGCCGACACTCAGGAGGATTCATGTCGCCGTAAAACGAGCACCAGGTGGCGCTGTGTCTCGTTAACGTCCTCAGACGACTTTAAGACTCCACTCATTTACCTGGAAATGCCTTTTCTCTCCGCCGTCGGTCTGAAGCGGCCTCAGATGACTCCGACATGCAAATGAAGCTCAAAAGCACAACCTGGAGTCTGAGGAGCTCCAAGCGAGTCCGACGGCCAGATGTTCCTGCAGACCTCCGGTCCGACCCGACACCTGCAGCAGCTGCTCGTCCAGGTGAAGGAGGACGCTGCAGCTGGAAACAGATGCTCGGAGCGTCGGAGCGTCTGGGCGAGTTCAGGGCGAACTCCGGATCCCCGTCCCTCCGGCCCTCGCACGGCCCGGGCAGGAGGCGGGCCGGAGCCGGAACAGGAGCCGGAACAGGAGCCAGAACAGGAGCCAGAACAGGAGCCGGCCCGACGTTTACGTTCAAGGTCCGACCGCGAATCACATATTTATAAGATTCCTGCACGCCTACGTCGAATGCAAGACATGATTACTGCGTTTAGGGAAGTCTGTGCTTCATGAAGATGCAAATCTACCAGGACTCAGGTTTGTTATGTTTGTTTTTAGAAATCGGTAAAATTCACGGTAATCGTCTGAAGAGCTGCAGATTTTCTCAAACTAATCGTGCGTGACTTTTGGTTTCTTCTGGGAAATTAACCTCGACATTATCCTGTTTTAATAAAATCACTGCTTTCTGCACGAGCTGCTTCAAAGTCTTGGAAAAACATCAGCTTGAATCTGCAGGGGTTCTGTCCACCTGACCCGATTACTTGGTCCGTAGTAGACGTACCAGCAGCTACTACAGCCTCTAAACCCCAGAACCCAGCAGCAGGTTTAAAAGGAACGTTATCGCTAAGAAAATATGAAAAAAACACATAAATGACACCATTTACCAGAGCCACAAACTGTACAGACACAGAAAATTCTCAGGTTTCCAACTGTCCTCGAACTACTCACCTTCTGTGACCCAAAGACCTCCGATACCGGGGCTTAGAAAGACGAAAAGTAAAAAAAAAACAAACAAAAAAAAACGAACAACCCCCCCCAAAAAACACTTGGCGCAAACCATATTTAATTTGTTTTTTTTTTTATTTGTATTTTTTTATTCTCTTCACATTTTTTAAATTAATTAATCTTTTTTTAAAAAAATTAAATGTATTTTTATGTTTTCATATTTTTTTCATTTTTATTTCCATTTTTATTTTTTTATGACGATCCTGCTGTGCACATAACTCCTTTGCTTTTAAAGCGACATAAAAAAAAACATGAAAAATTATTTTTTAAAAATACAATAAAATACAAATAAATAAACTAAAATAAATAAATAATTCTTATTTTTAATATTTGATTTATTTTGTTTTATTTCCACTTTTATTTTATTATTCTTTTATTGGCTTATTATTGTAATTTGCCACTCTCACTGCTTCATATGAACTGTGACATTTCATTAAAACAAAAAAAACTTTCATCAACACGTCATTTAAAAAGTCACTGAAAATTTTACCGATGAAAAAAATAGATAAATAAATAAAAACTCTTTGCTCCTTGGCATGATCTTGGAGCCACGACGGACTCAACATAACAAAAAAATCCGTAACTTCTCGGCTGAACCTCCGTCAGCGTTCACACAGAGACAAGGAACAGATTAAATATAAAACATCGACTTCTCTCTTTGTAGCGTCTCCGACACTCGTGGACCATTTTAAATAAACGATGAAAGAAACTCAGCTCTACTATTTTCTGCTTTTGATGATTTCTTTTGGATTCATCCGTCGACACCTGTTACCTCGACGGTCGCTCACCTCGGGGATGGGGTCCGACAGCAGCGTGTACAGCTTCTCGTGGGCGCTGTCCCGGACGCCGCACCAGCGGGCCGGGTCGAAGTTCTGCCAGATGCGTCCCAGGCAGATGGCCACCCACTGGCGGAGCAGCGGGTGGGGGTCGGACAGCTGCTCCAGGCAGTTGGCGATGAGGTTCCCCTGCAGACAGGCCTCCTGTGGGGCAGAGCGGCGGTCAGAGGGGGAGGAGCTTAAACGTTTCACACACAGGTGAGCTTAAAGCCAGGATGACAGGTGTTTGACTGGAGCCGCAAGCTGAGAACGAAGCAGATCCTTCACCAGCTCTCAGCAGCAGGAATAAGAATAAACATAAAACACTGAATTCTGGACTCGTCACGTCCACAAGTTCTTTCAGCTAAAACCATTTACCAGAAAAAACAGATTTCTAACTTTACAACACTTCTGTGACGTGTCCTTCCTTTTTTTAAAAAAAAATTAAAATCATCTAATCTCATTAAAAAATTACTCAAAAAACAAACCACATGCTCCAGTATTTCACTTTTTAAGCCTAAAATCAAGACATTTCCTCAGACTCACTTTATTCTACACGTGCAATTCAAAAATTCGCCAAAAATAAACCATTTACGATTAACGGATTCGGTAAAAAACTAAAAATTCTGCTCTCCTTTGTGCAGCCGTTAAGCTCTTAGTGACTGAGCTGAGACGAGCGGCCACGAGGCAAAAATCTGCGACTTCTCGGCTGAACTGCAGGCTGTGTTTCCTCAGAGTATAGAAGCTTATTAAACAGTGAATAGTTAAATATCTGTCCTATGTGGAGCCACTGTTCTCTGTTTTCCAGTGTTGGAACACTTGTGGATGCTTTCAGGCTTTTATTCAACTTTTGCAAAACAAATAATCAAAGAAATTGAACATTTTTTGTGTGATTTCGTCGTTGACACTTCGTCAAACTGCACAGAAGTCGTTTCTGAGTTTGTCTTCATGGTTTTTGGATTTTATATTAAACAGAAAAACGAGCCCACGGCGAGTTAAAACCAGTTAAAACGAGTTAAACCAGTTCTACGGTACCTGCAGACGTAGTGAGGTCTAAAGAAACACGGGTTCATCGTTTACATGTTTAACTCTGATCGACTGGTTTAAGTCTGACGACATCTGTGTCGTATGTCAGTGAACGCATCGTCTGTCTCTGAACGAGGCTTCAGACGAGCTGCAGCTCATTAGTCCATAAATGAGCTCCGACCGTGACCTCAGACACAAAGACAACTGAAGCTAATTGGTCCACGAAGGTGTGAGATGCTGATCTTCTACCAAACTTCTGTCTTTGACGCGAGTTCTCGTCTCGTTTTTTGTTTTTTGAAAAAGCAGGAAAATGTGTAAAAACACAGAAATATTTTTTTTTTTTGTTTTTTTGAAAAAGCAGGAAAATGTGTAAAAACACAGAAATAAAGAGTCTGTGCGGCCGGTTCAACGGCTGCTGGTATGAAATGTGATCTAATGCAGCAGAAGAACGATGTTTTGTGCTGCTGAGAAGTTAAATCAGACTC